CAGGCTTTTCTTCTTAGTCTATCTTAGTCTGGAAGCTCTGCTGAAAACCTGTTGAACATCAGAGTAACACACAAGCCTCCACAGACGGATGGATGGTGGCTACACATGAAGTGCATAGGGTAGCCAATTCTGTGAATATTATACTCATTTGCTAGTCATTGCTAGCAAATTTTTTTATAATGTAATAGCTACTTTTACGCTAATGTATTTTTATTCTAGATATACTAGTGGCATCAAAACTATTATTTATAAACAAACACATAAACCATAATAATTTATTTGTCAAGAAACAACAACGGCAAAACATAGCCTTTGAAATTTTATGGGCTACAACTGAAAAATACTGTTACTAAATTTAAAAGTGATCTATGGCCTTAAAGCACTTTTATGCCCTTACTCTAGTGTTCACTGGCTTAATTCCCTCTTCCTCTCTCCTGTTTATTTATTTCCTCTCTAAAGGCATCATCAGCACCATTTCTTTCTTGTTAATGAAAAATAGCTTATTTTGAATTGTCAGTCTCCGCACTGTCATGATACTGGCATGAACAAGACATCAATTGTGAAATGGACCACAATAGGAACAAAATGAAATTAACAGGAAAAAAGCAATACAGAGTGTAAGAATCTTGCCTGACTTCATTTTTTAAAGCAGCCTATGGGGCAATCTACTTCCGTAGTGATACTGCCTGGGAAACCCAAGGAGGGGTCACTATGAGTCAGGTCTGACTGGACAGCAAACAACAACAACAACATCTGCACAAAAATAAGGTACTTCCAGATGGCATTTTCATTAGTATAAATAACCAAACACAAATATACAGCATATAATACAGAGTATTTAACTAGTACTGCTCTCTTGTTGTAAATATTGAGTCTTTTAAAAATCAAACTAAAAAAAAATAGATCATTTAAGGTAAAGCTAAATATCAAACTCCCACAACAAGGAGCCCTTGTGAAGCACGGTGAAGTGACTCTAAGGTAAGGTGTAACCAACCCTCTTCACAATCCCTGTAAATTTCCATCACAGACCCCCCCCCAAAAAAAAAAAAAAAAAAGAAGAATGCTTGAAAAATTAAACTGAGATCAATTCACAATCTAGAAACATCCTTAATCTTAATTTTTTACATAATGTTAAGTGATGAGAAAAAAAGTGGGCATTTTCCCAAAATGCAGTTACCAATTCATACATGATTTATTTTATATTTAAATGAATAGTATTGTTAAATAACCTAAAATCATTAACTTAAAGGTAGGAAACAATACTACTCATGATATATATCTCTTGACAGCATTTCCATTCTTAACCTTTTCTTATTCCTAAACTAAACTTCTGTAGGTTGATAACTCCTACTTTCAAGACCTCATGATGTTGTTGTTGTTGTTATGTGCCGTCGAGAGTCAGACCCGACTCACAGCAACCCCTCCTTGGGTTTCCGAGGCAGTATCACTACGGAAGTAGATTGCCCCATCTTCCTTCCGAGGAGTGGCTGGTGGGTTTGAACCGCCAGTCTTCTGGTTAACAGTCAAGTGCCTTAGCCACTATGTTACCAGAGCTCCCTCATACTCCAACTTAAAAATGTCCTCAGGCTTGACATCGCCTAGCCCCTACGTATACAAAATAGTTCCTTAAAAATTCTATTTTCTTGTTCTTTTTTACTAAAAAACATAGTAAGAGTTTACTTAAGAGACTATACATTTTTGTTACATATCAGATAACTAAAAAGACAAAATACGAAAGATTTACTTTAAATTATAGGAAGGCCCTGATTTGAAATTGTTTAAAATGAGGCAATATACAACAAGGGGGACAGCAGCACAAAATGATCAAGGTAAAGGAGCACTCTGGGAGGAGCACAAGGGTTAAAGGCAACAAAAGTAATACTGTAATCAATCCTGTAAAAACAATAATAATAATAATCTATCAATGGACACATACATAGATACATAAACTGAAAAGGGGTAGGAAGGTGAATGGGACTACAGTTATGAATGTACACAGGTTTGACAGAGGATAATTCGTCTTACGTATTTACCTATGCTGCAAATATATCCATAAATATACTAGAGCACGGGGGTGGGGGCAGAGTTACAAAAACTTCTTAGTCATAACCAAAAACCTTGAGGGAATGAGTTAGTGTTCCTGGGGGCTCAGAACCATAGATAGTCTCAAGGGACACTTAGGTCAACTGGAATAATATAGTCAGTCCACAAAGACAATGTTCTGCATCCTACTTCAATGAGTAGTGAGTGAGGTCTTAATAGCTTGTAAGCAGCCATCTAAGGTGCAACCATTGGTCTCTCCCCATTCAGAGCAAAGAAGAGTGAAGGAAATCAAAGACTCTAGGAAACAATTAGTCCAAAGGTCTAATTGCGAACCACAGCCTCCACGACCAGAAGAACTAGATGGTGTCCAGCTACCACTGCTTACCATTCTAGAAGGGATCACAACAGAAGGTCCTGGATGGAGTGGGAGAAAATTGTGGAGCAAAACTCAAAATCATAGAAACCAGCCTTACTGCTCTGATAAAGACTAGTACAACCCCTGAAACTGTAGCCCTTTGATACCCTTCAAGTCTGAAATCTAACTCACCCCCATGGCTCTACTCTAAGCCAAACAACAGACAGTTCTATAAGGTTAACAACTCTTGTTGTTGTTATGTGCCATTGAGTCCGACCCGACTCATAGCGACCCCTCCTTGTGTTTCCGACGCAGTATCACTACGGAAATAGATTGCCCAACCTTCCTTTCGAGGAGTGGCTGGTGAGTTTGAACCACCAGCCCTCTGGTTGGCAGTCAAGTGCCTTAGGCACTAGGCTACCAGAGCTCTCTAAGGTGAACAATAACACCCTAGAATAGCCAACCAAACGAAATCAAAAGGGCAGCATCTGCCCAGGGATAAAGCCTAAAAGGCAGGAAAGGATAGGAAATAAGAATGGGACCAGTAAACACAGAGAGGAAGGGGGAGAGTGCTGTTACATTATGGGGACTGCAGTCAATGTCACAAAACAAAACGTGTATGAATTGTTGAACTGAAAACAATTCACTCTGTAAACGTTGACCCAAATCACAGTAAGTTAAAAGAAATCATTTAAAATACATTAATAAAAACAAAATGTATTAGACCAAATACTTATTTTGACTTTTGGCTTATTTAATCTTAAATACAAGTATGCTATTAAAGAAATAAAACAGAATCCAAGAAAACACATTTAATACTGTATTTTAGTAATATAGCAAAATATCTCATAGCATAAATATACTATGTAAACTATAATAATCAGAAGGTAACAGAGGATAAGGTTTTCACTTTTATCATAACTTTAAAATTACATTTACTAGTGGTACATCCAAAGAATTATTCCACCATTTTTTAACTGAGAAAGCATAGATATTAAAAGACAATCATAATCCTAGATTATCGTTATGGAACCCTAACTCAAGAACTCAAGTTCCAACTCTAAAAGTACCAAAACCTTTCAAGTCTTCAAAAGAAAATATTACAAAATTTATAAATTTATGAAATATAAGATGTAAAATTGTGTATGCTTTATAAAATATTTTTATCTTGTGAATAAAATAAAATACATATATTCGCAAAACCAATACAAAAGTCAAAATCATCTCACTCTTAAGAGAAAAGTTACCTGAAGAATAGTTTGGATTTCTTAAATTCCCAGTATGAGACTGATAATCTGTTTTTTAAAATCATCCTATTCATAGGTATATATTTTTTAAAACCTTATGACATCAAGTTGCCAGAAATTTTCTGACACAGGCAAACCATAAATCATGAAAGTTGTTATATGCTGACAATCTTGAATCCATGACTTAGCCGAAAAACTAATTTTTAAGAAATTTTAAATCCATTACAAAAAAAATCACCAGGAAAATAAAGCTTGGGGACAAAGATATTTTAGTATAAACCATTTCAAACAAACTAAAATGATTAGTAATACAAAGGTACAAAATACCTATTTGGGCAATATCCTTCAAAAGCCAATGTTCTAATACAGGTCTGGATGATGATGTATATATATTTTTTCTAACAGGGAATCACTGCATGTTCCAGTGGGCTCAGTTTCCAACAGAAGCAGCACAAGAACCCAAGCCAAGCTTTTAACCTTGAAGGTCACATGGACCTTTGCTCTCATCACTGATCTACTGCACTACAGCACATGTCCTAAAACACATCTCTATTTAGAAGAATGAAGATAAAACATCTAACTGATTTAGATAAAAATCTAACTCTCAGACTGGGGCTGCTCCCAAACCTTCTCCACCAACTACTACAGTACAAAATTTTAAAACCCTCTGTCATTTTATCTTACAAACATGACAAGTTTTTAAAGTTCATATTTAGTAGTTCCCTTTGCTTAAACTACATAGAAATGAAATAAAACCCACTGATCACCTTCAGGTTCCTGTTGACCCAAGATAAACACAGGTATTTTAATATCTCCTCCCATTTAGAGTGATATCCAAAGTCTGGGAAGGAATGTTTCCACCAATAAATACCTTTCAAATGAACGTCTGTTAGATGGCCATGCATTAGGGAACTAATGCAATAATCCATTTTGCCCAGCACAGATTTTATTCAAAATCTCTTACTGCTGACTTAAAAACCTAAGCTCCGTCCTAAGTCCCACATTAGCTAGGCAACACTTGAGTAGTATGGTTTACTCTTGGGAAGTTATTTACCAAACTAGAAGAAAATCTTGGGTAACTGGTGTCTATTCTGTTACTGTACTCTTACCTATTTATACTCATTAGAGTAGAAGTTATGGTAACTCTAACAATTAAATCACAATGTTCAGCTAAAGATCAAATTAAGAGGGTTTTTCCAAAAATACAAACTTACCCCATTCTAGGTATTCAAGAATGTTCTTCTCTCTTCTCAATGGAGAATTACTGCATTCATCATAAAGGCAGATGAGTATATCCAGTAAGGTCTCCACGCTGAAGCACTGCCCATTGGTTTGAGCCGGCCCATCCAAAATAAACTGCTCCAACTGCCTCAAACGCACTTCTCCAGACATGTTGGCTTCAACTGCTACTGGTTTTCTTTTAAATTATTATTACTATTTTTTACGATTATTCTTTGAACCTAAATTCTAAAAGGTGTGGTTTTAAAAACAAACCACTTGTTATTTAAACAACTGACACTGCAATGCTGGTGCTGAATTACACATCCAACACACCAGTAACCTCACTTAACTGAAGCGTCTTCCATTTCACACATGTACATATATTTTGAGAAAAAGTTACCATAAAATATATATTTTTTACATTTTTCAAGAATACAACTAAATCTTATTTTTAAATAAAATAATAATTATTAAAAGTATAACGGACCAAAAAGCGAACACTTGTTTTTTTTTTTAAAAAAAAAAAAGTCTCCTTCATTCAAAATTTAACTAATGCAACATAATCCTGAAATGAATCCAGTTGCATTATTAATTAATAAAGTCCGATTTGAATCAGCAATTCACTTCTCGGGAAGAAGAAAAATAGAAAAGGGAGGAAAATCACAAAACGTACATAAGGAGGAGGGAAAACCAAAAATTCTGCTGCAAATCCTCCCAACCACCACTTGGATAATGCATCAGCGGCAATTTCTCCAGAGGGAAAGGGAGGGGGCGAGGTCCCTGAAGCAGCCCCTCCAGAGCACACCAAGTCTTGCCCCAAGGCGGCTTTTCCTTTCCCCTCCCCGAAGTCCTGCTTTTTAAGGCTTTGCAGTTAGTCCTATTTCCAACGGATTCCAATGAAAACTCTTCATTTTTCTCCCCCTTCTCCCAGGGCCTGACTGGCGGCGCAGCCGAGGTTGGAGACGCGGGCTGCGGGCGCCACTCGCACCCAGGCTCCGCGAACGGCGGCTACTTGGCCTCGCGAGCCCGCTCCATGTCGGTGGTCGCTCGTCGGCCGGGCCGCATTCGGCTGAGAGCCCGGTCTACCTCTCACCCGCACCGCGGCCGCCGCGCCGGAGGCTTACGACGCCGCTGGCGAAGGGGGTGGCTCTTCTGAATTCAAAGGACACGGACGGCAGCGACGGCGGCAGCGGCGGCGCGGGCGGCTCTAGCAGCTACTTCTGCCTCTTCATCACACCCCTGTGTTAAGGGCATCTTTGCCCCGCGAAGAGGGAGGCGGCCGAAGCGCAGGAGGAGGGGTTGGTGCCGCTGGTGAGAGCAGAGGCTGCCGCAGCCCGGCTCGCAACCACTCCCTTCCTTTCCCTCCCCCTCCCCCGCCTTCCCTCTACTCTGGCGCTCCAGCTCTCGCCTCTGCGAGACTCCTCTAGTCCCAGCCGCACGCTGGCTGAGGCTTGCGGACGAGTCTGTATCCAATATGGCGGCGTCCCCTACACACGCGCGCACACGCCCTCTCCCCTCCCCGCTCTCCGCCCCTGTCGGAGCCCCGCGGCGGCCCCAACCCGAGCCCGTGGGGCTGAGCCCGGCGGTGTGCTGCGGCCGCGCCAAGCCGAGGCCCCAGAGAGGGGACTGACCAGGGACCCGGGCGCTTGCACCACCGGAGGGGAGGGAAGGGGACCGCCTGGGCTAACGATGCTGCGGCTGCCGCAACGTGGAATGCAGGGATACGGGAGGACTGGGGGGGAGGCCGAGGCGGCGGAGGAGGAGGATATGAGGCGAGATGACCCGCCTGGGCAAAGCTGGGAGTTGCGGCAGAACGAGGGCGAGGGCTGGGAACTGCGCCATAACGTCGCCGCTGTCCTGTTCCCTAGGCTTTTCGGGCGGATCGCCCAGCAGGGTTTCTTCGTCCTCAGAGACACCACCTGTCTGGCACGTTTGCTAAGGGGGCCCAGCGGACGGCTATAGGCTCCCAGCAGTTCTGCAAAAGACAATGTATCTCTCACTGCCCCTACCTGCTCCCCAAGAGCCCCCCAAATTCTATTCTCGCGCACTCCAGAGAAATAATTTTCTGGATGTTTAATTACAGCAAGCTTGTGCCGTTCCCAGGACAAAAATAGTGACAGAGATGTATGTGCAACCGTCCAAGGCGTGTGTAGGGCAGAATTCCTCATCTCTATTCCCAAAGGAAGTTTCCCTACGTGGAGTATAGTCTTTTCTTATCCAGAACTATTCTAACTGCGGCCTATTTATCCCCAGGCAAGGTTATCCCCAGCCTGCAAAGGACTCACTTCAGCAGATGAAAGGAATCAAGAAGTAGTTCATCACTATTATCAAACCTACACCCTCTGTGTTTCTCTCTCTCTCTCTCTCTCTCT